GCTAAATTTTTTCAGTTGCTTCCCAGAAGTGACTGGGACAGAGTCACAATGCTTTTCACCTTACACAAGGGTCCCCTTAATGATCCATTATTAGCTGAGCGGAGACGTGCTTTAGATCCCAGTGCACAAATGTTTTATAGAATCAGTAACTGACATTATTGTTGGGCCTGAGGGACAACGGACTTAATTTAATGTTTATTATGATTAATATTATTTATGCTTCACATACACAGTAAGTTTCACATACAAAGATGAAATACACAATACATCTACAAACAGTTTTGTTTCACAGGTAGGCTATTTGTCAATGCATAGAAAGTCTTTTTGTTTAACATTTCAAATTTCTGCCAAGTCTGTCAATATAAAAATAAGCAGAGCTCCAAATATTTTCCCTATTTTCTTTTGCTTATTTCTTTCTTTTGCTTATTTTGAAAACAGACAATTCAACATCAGCATGTCTATGCTTTGGCCTGTAGTTTCTAATATGAGCAGGAGCATCACAAACATTATAAAAACAAGCAACATCATCACAATCAGAATTAAGACAATAAAGCTATTGAAATTAACTTTAAATGATGTGGTACTCTGCTAATCGTTTCCTGATCTCTTTAGTTCTGGTGCAATAAACAGTGGGATTTATTAATGGAGGGATTAGAGAGGCTACAATCAAAATTGCATTTCGCTCTGTTAAATTTAGCACAACTCCTATTCGAGTTAGTAAAATAGAGACCAGCTTTGGTGCGTAATAACTAAACAAGACAATGAGGTGACTGGAGCAAGTGCTGATCATTTGCTTTTTGCTTGAGTTATTGGTCAGTTTAGTCACACTATATGCCAGGAGAGCATAGGTACACAGAATAAAAGGAAACTGTCCACACAGTAGCCACAGACTTATCATTACAGGTATGAAAAATATGGTTCAGGATCAACACAAGCAGCTCTGATCAGGGAAGGATGATCACAGAACACATATCTGATGACAGGCTGACGACAGTATGGAACACTGTCTACCATTGATGCCATAAAACCTACAAAAGCAAAACCAATGAGCCAAGTCAGAAAAATAAGAAGACATGTTCGTGAATTAGTTACAATGTTGTGGTATCTTAATGGAAGCATTATTGCAATAAGTCGATCTATTGCCATTAATGTCAGAGCCATACATATTGTGATATCACCAAGATGATAGAAGTACATACTTGAGATACAAGAGTAGTATGAAATAGTTTTAATCTCAGCCAGCAGCACTGAGATCATGGTTGTGCTGCAGCTAGAAGAGAACATTATGTCAACAACAGCTAGATTACAGATTAATATGTACATCGGTTTGTGTAAATGTCTGTCAGTCAAGATAATACACAGATTGATGCCGTTCCCAAGCAATATGAGCATGTAGGTTATTAAGATGAGGAATCCGAGCAGCTTTTGGTTCTGCAGGTGATCAAATCCAGTGATTACAAAGCCATTTAAAGTGTAATTTTCATTTGCCATTTTCAATCAGCCGCTTCCCAACATACAAATATTTTAAAATACAGTTAGTACAGATGATAATATTAAGTCAATTAGATCCTCGATGTACTCATATATGCACAGAAAAAAAGCTCCTATGAAGGAAAATGGCAGAAAGATGCAGACAGTGTCTGTAACTGCAGGGTGATGAAAAGTCTGAAAGTTGAAATATAGTTTTATCAGAAAAACAAAAAGAGTTTCATGCATTCTTAAGAATAAAAAAGAATATATAATGTGATATAATTTCTTGTCCTTTTGTTCTTTAGTTCCTCTATTTTAAAATTCCAATTAGAGTACTTTAAAATAGCATAAAATAAACTGTCTGAGATGCACCTCTCATCATAAACATATGACTGAAATCCTGCCTTTTATATCTTAATATATGACAGATAGGTCATGGTTTCCTAGCAGCTGTGATTGAGTAAACTTAGGATTTCAACATAGAAAGTCTCTCCAAATATTTTTTGTGGTTATACACACACACACACAAAAGAAAAAATACCTCCAACAATACCATACTGCATTAATCTATTATTTAAATAGACATGATTAGGAGATGGAGTAGTTTGTCACACAAGTATAAAGGGGCTATATAACTACATGGTAGATAAAAAAAATCATTTTAAAGTCATGTTTTTGGTAGAAATTTTTATATATATTTAAAGAAAAGTGACATTTTAAAAAAATGTCTGCGTAGAGAGGATGTTTTCCCAACTTTTATATATTGTAATTTCATGGAATAACAGTTTCTTTATATTTTTATTGAGGCAAGTTGTCACTTGTTTACTGTATGTTACATATTATAGACATTTTCCCAAAACAACAGTTTTATGTTTATATGTTACCTGTTTTGTGATATATAAACTGTTTCAACCATTCATGTTTTCAAAATATTTCAAATATAAAATATTTTAATTTAGCTTAAAAACATATAATAGGTTATTTAATGGCAGGTTTCATTGTGACAACCTACCCCATATAGAGTGACAACACACGGATGTTATTAGTTTACAAGGAAAATTAATGATTTTAACATAGTCCATGTTACTATAAAATTAGTTTTAGTATCCCCATTATAATTCATCAACTGTAGATGGACTTGGGTACCTCTTAGCTTGAGGAAATTATTTCATTAGAGTTGTGAAATTTTAAAAATGACCTCTGCAGGACAGTGACAAAGACCAGGAATTATTTTTGTTTTCTGTTATTTTTTGTTAAGTTCCATGTGACCTCTGTCACCTCTGTGCCTGTTTTCTTGTGGGTACATTGCAAGTCACACTCCACTTGTTTTTTTCCCTGTTGCTTCACACCAGACTGAAATCTCTCAGGCTCCACATGAACCTCTCCACAGGTTTACCTAAACAAGCACAGTGCTATTAGCAGGGTAATTAACATGCTACTCATTATCCTTTGGAACAAATGCCTCATATTTAGATGATGCAACACTTGTTGGTTACTACACATCCTCATCACACACATTTGAGTGCAGACTATGAAAACCTAAAATAACAGACACAACATATTATGAATAAACAAGCTAGTAGCTTAATAATACAATGTCATCAGCTGATGACTGTCATAGGTAATACATGTACGAAATGTGAAACTTTACACATACACTAGCCACAGAACACAGTAAATAATTTACTACAATAGCTATAATTTATTAAAAAGGCAGGAAACCTGAGTTTCTCATGTGTAAAACACATGAGAATCTGTTCTCCATATATCTGTTCTCCAATAAATCTGTTATTTCCATACTTTTTGAGGGCGAAGGCCATCCTTCACAGTGTCTAGTTTCTAGATAGCAAAGAACTTCTCTATATTTCCAAAATGGAGTATCTTTTTAGATACTAAGATTGCCTTTTCATTTAAAATATTTCGAAGATACAGTAGGCCATCATGAAGCAGCAGCACAACAGTTTCTCCTCTCTATGGGTCACTGATTTTTCTGGTGTATCTCACATTAGATACTATTATATATTTCTGTTTTATGTCTACATTATTACTGTGCTTGGAAACTATTTTCTTATGATTGTGATTATTGTGGACCGAAATCTTCACACACCTAAATATATTGCTGTCTTTAATTTAGCACTGACAGACATTTGTGAGAGTACTGCTGTGATCCCTCAGCAACTGGAAGCATACATGTTTGGAAATCAGTTCATTCTGTATGGATTGCGCATGTCCCAAATGTTTTTCAATTGTGTTATTTTTGCAGTGCAAT